TGTAAACTCTAAAAGTCTCACTGTAAGACATTCTCCACCCTCTCCAATTTTTCCACATCTTTTTAAAATGCTGACACCAGAACAGTACTCATTATTTGAGTACTGGTCTCACTAATACCATATACATGTTTATTAATTATTGTTATTATTTAGAAACTGTTTCCTTGCTGCACTACTGCTGAAATAACAGCTGAAGCTAAATGTCTGAATTACTCTGTTCACAATAAAACTTTAGAGTAATATTTACTTATGCCTTAAACCACAGCTCTCTAAAAACTATTGGATTAAGATTAAAGGGCTTCTCTACACTACAAAGTTAAGCCAACATTAGGCAACTTACATTGACCTAACTATGGAGGTGTACACACTGCAATACTCCTCCTGCTGCTTTAACTTTCCTGCTACGCCGACGAGAACTTAGGGCAACCTGGTTAGAATGATGCAGTGTCAGTGTAGATACTGCATTGCTTACCTCACCCTAAGTGGCCCCCAGCAGGTATCCCACAATGCCCACCGTGACTGCTCTGATCACTGTTTTGAACTCCACTGCCCTGCAGCCAGGTACACAGATATGTGCTCCTCCCCTTTTAAGGCCCCATGGAGTTTTGAAATTGCTCTTCCTGTTTGCTCAGTGTGGAGAGCTCACATAGCTAGAGCCCTGCTCAGATACAAAATTTGTATCCACATCCGATCCGTGATCCACAAAAATGATATAAAACAGATATCCATGGATTTGCAGGGCGACTGCCCAGATGAGCAAGCCAGCTCCATGCAGCAAACATGCTGCTGCCTGGAGTTCACAGAAGGTGGTGGATTTCCTGGGTCTGTGGGGAGAAATCACTGTAGGGAGGCTGGGAGAGAGAATCACAAGGACCTCCCTACACTCCCCGTCCCCTCATCCCTACCTGCCAATTCCATGCATCTTCTGGGGCCACAGCAATACCCAAGGCATTCCACCCCATGGGAGATTAAACATTACAGCTGCACGTACACCCAGCTGTGAGAGCCTCCTTGGGGTATGTGCTTATGAATTCCCTCTTCCATCCCCTTTAAAGATACTTTCCCCTGCATGTATGAAGTTTACCTCAGTATTACATAGGTATGTTTGCATGGGTGTGGAATAAAAATCTACTTTTGGAAACGGAATTTCTCTTTATTCTCCATCACATGGTGGCTGGTGCTAACATTCAAGACAATAGCAACAGGTGCACATGCATTATAAGAGTTGGGCACGCACAGCAATCATACAAGGTTTATAGTGTGATGCAAACAAACAATGCCAGGCTCAGCACACTACAGGAACACATATTACTCTGGCTCAGTGTTAAAATGTTCCTCTACAGCCTCCCCCAGCCAAATAGCCCCCACTGAACTCCTCTTATAGCCTTATGTTCGTAACACACAGCACAATATTGAAGAGCAATGCAGGATCCATGCTTTCTAACAGAGATGGTTAGCTTGCAGGTTACCAGGCCATTTGAAAAGCAGCTGGCAATTTAGTAGGATACCCATGGAATGATGGGATTGAGAAACCTGCATCATGTGACACTAAACCTGCCCCCATGAGGCATTACAAACTCTTCCCAAAACATCCTGCGCCAGTTGCACAGAGGGCTAATTACGCATAGTGCACAGCTCTGTGTTGATGCAAGAGCTGCTACTGTGGATGTGCTCTGCCAACACATGGAGCGTAGTGAGGACATGCAAGGTGGTTTAATTACAGCAGTGGCAGTAGGTTGACATAACTTAAGTTGACTTAAATTTGTAATGTAGACATAGCCAAACTTAGGCTAAGAAAAAAAAGAGAAGGATGAATGTATCCCTTTCCTGCACAGGTCAGAGGCCTAGAAATGTAATTTTTTTTTAAAAGGGGCATTTAAAAAGAAAAACATCTTTAAAAGACAGAAGGAAATATATCAAACATTTAGTTAGTAGGAAAAAAAAAAAGATATGCAATAATAAAGCCTGCAGTGAAATCCTGGACCTATTGAAGTCAATGGGAATTTTACCATTGATTTCAATAGGGCCAGTATTTCACATTATGTGCAATACTAACATTAGTGTGAGACTAATGCCTGGCTTCAATGAAAAAGAAAAACTACAAAACAACAAGAGTGCTACAAATTTAGGACCTGATCCTGCAAATACTTATGCATTTGGAGTAAAGTTTCTCACTTATGTGGTCCCCGCTGTTGTCAATGAGGACTATTCATATGAATGAAGTTACTCCTACTTCAGTGTCTGCAGGATCAGGTCCTTATGAATTTAGGGTTTGACTCTGCAAACAAGACAAAAAAAAAACCACACCTCATGAACAAAGGTTTTTAGGACCGAGCCTTCACTTCAAATTTTATCTACAGAGAAGCTCATGTAGATTATGCAAAAATACTAGCTCTTGTAAAACACATCACCTTCTAGAATCTAATGACTGTCGTTTCAGTTGCCATTGTTTCGACAATAAGAAGCCTGAAAGGCCACGAACCATATTAGGACACTTTTAGTTCTGAATATTTAATAGTACTTAAATTTTCTTCAGTGATTTTTATTAATGTTTTTATTCCAATAGTGATTTCTTTCTAAATAAATGCAGCTATATATTATAAAAAAGTGCTTTGCATTTAGACATTTTAAAATAGATTTTAAAATTGATTATTTTTAACAAGTTCAGAATATCCCGAAGTGCCAAATACACTTTTCAAGTGCCTTACAATAGCTTCAAATTCTTCTGCTGGGCTCTTTCAAACAGAAGAATGATCACATATGGCTTAGCATAGCTAGATGGTTAGAGACCACTTTTGTAAATAAGAGAATACAAAACCCAAGTGTAAGCCACCAAGCTGTGCAAAGCTTTTTATTCACTACTATGTATTTAAATGCTTGCATTAGGGTGTCAAATCCAAGGGTCAGTGTAGCAGTTTCACTTAAAAGTAAAATGCCAAGTTGAGTTTTGTAGTAGACCTAGCAATTATAAGTTCTACCAGAAAGTAATATTGAAATCTCTCTTTATTCATTAGAGTTGAACCACCTACCATCCTCAGCTTAGATTACACACTTTAATATAATTTATTTTTCCAGTTTAACTTTTTAAAGTATTTTACTTTTTAAAATAGTATGAACATACAAAAGAAATCCTCTAACATGAATGGAAATAGTTTATTTATGGAGTATTCCTTTGTAGCAGAGGTGGGCAAACTATGGCCCACGAGCCACATCCAGCTTGCAGTACCCTCCTGCCTGGCCCCTGGCCCAGGAGGCTAGCCCCTGGCCCCTCCTCTGCTATTCCCCCGATCCCGCAGTCTCAGCTCACTGCACCGCCAGCACAATGCTCTGGGTGGAAGGGCTGCGAGCTCCTGGGGCAGCGCAGCTGGCTGCAGCCAGGCGGCACGGCTGCCTGTCCTGGTGCTCTGGTTGGTGCAGCGCAGTAAGGGGGCAGGGAGCGGGGTGGTGGTGGTGGATAGAGGGCAAGGGAGTTCGGGGTGGTGGTCGGGGGAGGGGTGTGGATGGGGGCGGGGCGGTCAGAGGGCAGGGAACAGGGTTGAATGGGGGTAGGGGTCTCAGAGGGACAGTCAGGAAGGAGGGGGGGTTGGATGGGGTGGCAGGGGTTCTGGGGGCAGCCAGGGGACAGGGAAAAGGGGTGGTGGAGGGGGCAGGAGTCTGGGGGGGCTGTGAGGGGGCAAGAAGCAGGGGGGGATAGGGGCAGGGGCCAGGCCACTCCTGGCTGTTTGGGGAGGAATAGACTCCCTTAACCGGCCCTCCATTCAATTTCCAAAACCCGCTGCAGCCCTCAGGCCAAAAAGTTTGCCCGCCCCTGCTTTGTAGATATGTCAGCAAATAAGTGTTTTCAATACATCACTATTTTTTCTAGCACCTTTTCTTTAAGTTTAAAGGTGCCCAGACATTCCAGGCTAGTAGTGGTTAGTTCCACTGAAACTGGGATTTTGTCCCACTTACACAAAACCCAGGATATCTAGTCACCCAGGATTGCCTGTTCTCCAAAGCACTGTGTAGTACTGCTACCCACAGAGGTTCAGACAGCTACTCACCCCACATCAAGTTGTAAGTGAGAAAAGAAGGGATATCCGCTCCCAACAAACCTGAAAATAGCTGAAAGGCAGCCCAAAGACTTGCTAATAGAAGTAGCTCCTCTTTGTGCTGCTCCTAGCTATGTCCCTGGTAGAGTCACATTGGGAAGAAAGAACAGGGAGAAAGTGAGAATAGAGAGAGAACAGGGTGCATATAAAGGGAAGAGGAACCAGGAGAAGACAAGCAGTAAAAACAAACCAACCAACCCAAATGAAAGCCCAGGAGATTAACAAAGGGCATAGAGGAAGTGGAGCAAAAAATAAAAGTTAGGGCTGAGCAGGAGGCAAAAAACCAATGCCCCCAGCCTTCCTCTCAACCCCTTAACTCCTGCCCCTTGCCTCCCCCCCCCCCCCCGCCAAAAGATGCTGGGCTTGCAGGAATGGGATAGAAAACATAGCTATGAGTTGAGTTTAGGGGAGAACAGAATACACAGAGTTAAAAACTGTTTTCTCCACCCCCATTTTTTAAAGGTGTCCTAGTTTTTCTGGAGAGGGAGCCCTCCTTCCTGCCCACTTGCTTCATACACTTTCCCTCCTTCCCCACAGATATCAAATGCTTCTCATGAGACAGGTGTCCTGATGTATCAGCCTGAAAATCTAGACTCGCTAGATTCTCACTTCCTTGTCCATTCTGCCCACTTCCCTCCCTGAGCCCCATTCAGCTCCTTCTCTCCACCAGTCATTTTCAATCTATTATCCACCCTTCCATGCAGTATTTTGTCTTTCTTCCAGCCCTCTACCTCCATTCCTCTCCACTCCCATGTCAGGAAAAACAGTTTGTGGGAAATGACTGGTCACCCCATTTTTTTTTCTTTCAAATAACGACTTCTTTTGTGTTATAGATTGCCCAGGCTGTTGTGTTCTTCAGGAAATGTTACCATAACTTAATGCTGTACTTGTAACGGAAAATTTGCCTACCTCGGTGGTGATGCCGGTGGGGTATAAAATGTAAGTGCTGAGGGAAAAGGTTGCTTTTTCAGTGCTTGTATAAGATTTGGCTTATATTCCGGATCAACACACCATAATGAACCTTTTCCATTCACCTGGAGAGGGGGAAACATAGTAGTGTGAATCAGAAGATTTAGGAGAAATTAGTAAACAAGCCATAGAGGAGTCCATTGTTACAATATTAAACATCCATTGTATCAACAACACTGACTATAGGCTACGGTATTTCCATTCTAAACCCATTTTCCCAGCTAGAACTTGTAAACTTTGATTTCAGTCCATGCTAAATATTTTTGTAAGTTTGAAGAAAGTCTGTTCAGGCATTTGAGGGGCAGCGATATGCGCCCCCTTTCTGCCCCCAGAAATAGGATCCCAAAGTTGGGATTCCCTCCTCTCTCCCCTGCACTCTAGGAATGTAGGGAGTTGTGTGAAATGAGCCCAGGTAGTGTGTCAGCAGAGGCTGGCATGAGAAAATGTACATATTAGTAGAGTCATATTAGCAAAAATTGCAAGATAAGCATCTAAAAAGGACTGGGAGGTTTAGAGTAACTTTTTTCGTTTTAGCCAGTCTTTTCAAATCCATCCAAGTCAAATGTCTGTACTGAGGACTAAATGCATAGCATGTTAGAAGTTGCAAAAACAAGTCATGTTTGATTTATCACATGAGAAAAGGGAGAACGAATTCTGAAAAACAAATGTGTGAATTAACAGCAGCATAACTGAGAAAAACTTCAGTTTTCTTCTAACCTTCAAAAGAAAATCATTTTTGGGTTGACTAGGTGCAAGGGAAGTCAGCATCCCAGGAGTGTGTATGAATGTAAGGGCTGGTCTACACACAGCTTTTGTATTGCTAGACTGGGTTAGAAACAGTTTAAAAAAGTACAATCCCCTAATTATAAGGGCTGTAGTTACACCAATATAAAAGGTGTTTAAAATCAGAATAGTTTATTCTCAAGTTATGTCTATGTCCCATAGCCTAAGCTTGCAGAGCACTTAGTGTAGACACTGCTGATACCTACAGAAAAAGTTTTTCTGCTGATGTAGGAACACTACCTTCCTGAACGATGTTAGCTATGTTGAGAGAAATACTCTTCCATCCACATAGCTGTGTGTACACTGGGGGTTTTGTCGACATAGCCATGTCACTTGCAGGGGTGGGGTTTTTCACATCCCTGCCCAATGAAGCTATTAACTTTAAGTGTAGACCAAGCCTCAGTGTGTAGACATGTCCTTAAATGAAGTGAAAGCAGCAAGGGTTAGGTTAGACTAGCTGCTGCAACCACTGCAGAGTCTGGCTGGAAATTAAGAATTCCAGGAAGTCAGAAACACAAACACTGTCCGACTGACCCCAGGCCCAATTCCTCTTTTTATCTGAATGACTGTTTCTGCATTAATGTTTCAGTTCAGAAGGCTCTTGTATCTCTTAGGACTCTTGAGTAATACTCTGATGACCCTGTGGTCTCATCTTCCCCCATCTTTGCTTTCTGGTTGGAATAGTATTTTACAATAAATCAAAAACGTGAACAGCCAGTTTCTTCTACAGTACACTGAAGTCCATGGCCTTGTCAAGACTTGGGGAAAATACTTTTTTCAGTCAAATGACCTTAGCTTGAATGAACCCCCCCGTTTAACACCAATATAAGCACAGTTTAGATTTTAGCAGATCAAATTAGACTATAACTCAACCATCTAAAATTACGAAAGGGGTTCAACCTTGTGCAACAGAGTTGCTCTTAAGCTCGTGGGCAACCACTGCTGGGTTCCCAGTCAGGCGTACAAGACAAAAGTGTTTTATTAGGCTGTCACCCCTTTCGGGGGTGGGAGGGAGGGAGGCGCAACACCTACAGCAGTCTTTCCCAGCAATGGCAAGGAAGGCAGTGGTAGCAAATCAAAATAAAAAAAGTCCTCCATCAAGCCTATCTTCCCTCAGAGAGAGACTAGCTGGCAGCAATCTCAAGCAGTTCCTGACCCCAGAAGGCTTCTCACAAAGCGAGACCTGGAGGTCTGCTCTTCCTTCCAGCCAGTTCCCAAATGAGCTGGACTCTACCCTTTTAACCTCTTCCTCCAAACCTGATACCTATAGCATGGTCGGGATGACTGAGCCCACAGCAGCTCGTTAACCCTTTCCTAGCCAGGGTTTTTTTTTTTTTTAAACAACCCATCACACTGAGCCTATACTGATGTTAATTCAATTGCGTTAAACTAGCTCAATTGAATTTGATGGAAAAAAATACCATTTTTCCTAGTCCAGATAAGGCCAATGACTCCCTGTGGCTTATAGTTTAGTGACAAAGCATCATGTCTGGTAATCAACTACCAAGTGAATTATTGTGGTCCCATGTTTCCAAAACCTGAAACCCTGACAATTTAGTGTATCCTACTTGGCAGTACCCATAAGCCCAGCAATGTTATCACTATTTTGCTACACATTCCAGGTTATTCAAATTGACATATCAAAAAACTAAGCAGGAGAGAACATGCTCTACTTCTCCCAAAGCTTCTTTACCCACTCGCTGCATATAGGGGAAAGCTATTAGTCAGGCTAGTTGCTTCTTGTAATACAGAAGAGACAAATCAGATAGTGAGAGATAAAGCAACCCTATCCCAGTAAGCTATAATGTCACAGCTAGGAGGGTAGCAGTGCCAAGTTTTGCTGTTGAGAAGTCTGGCAGAATCTTACAAAAGCCACTAATGCATACGGATGATGGAAGGTGGATCAAGCAAAAAAAATTAAAAAAGACAAATATAAATGATTCTGTGTTAATTTATAAAAAGAAGAACAGAAAATGGCTGTCTGGTATTATGCATTCTCACATGTTGATTATTAAATATTTGCATTAGAGCAGTTCTATATTTTAGGACAGAAGAGAAAATAAAAGTAATCTGGTCAATACATGTGGAAAATGTTTCAGAATGAAGTTTCAAACTTCATGGGATAAAGCCTCAGCAGTTGTAAATTGTCAAATACCTACTGACTTCAGTGGGCCTATAACTATTTACACCAGCTGAGGATCCATTCCTATGCTTTTATGAACTGATGTTTCCTGACAATTAAATATTGTCAAGGCTTAGAAAGCACCAGTGTAGCATCCACTCACGGAGGGATCTAAGTTATTGGGCTTTTTTCATAAGATGAAATATTTTGTTATAAAAAGAGCTTGCACTATGAATTAGGGAAAAAATTCAGAAATAAAACAGAGTATTTAGTAGTTATTGAAATGCCCTATGAACAGATGCCGCTGAATGTTGCTTTCTGTAAAATTCCTTTTTTACTGGATACTATTCTTTACCCTGCAACAAAGCTTAGTGTGAAAACTATAAGAAATACACCAACTTTTTTTCTTTAGATATTTTTATTTAAATAGACTATTAGCTAGTTAACCCCACCACAGCTCTGATTACCCTAACTGGCTGAACCCACCCTCTTAATAAGAGTACATTACTCAGGGTGGATAAAAACCAATGATTTTTTAAAAATTAAAAAAAAAAGTTTTTGATAAAATGCTTTTTGAGGGAAAAAACCTATCTAAAGATAGTTTTATTTAAGATATATTATAGCTCAAAGATATTTCATCATGGATTAGGGATTACAAATTCTATAGTATGAAACAATATATTCATGTAATATTTAATAAAAGTTTTGAAAATTAGTTCCAATAGTTCATGGAGTAGGGACCCAATCTTATGGGGTTCCAGGGGCTTCTGCATGGATTATTTAGGTTAATTTTTCTGTCTACCCAATGAGACTCAGTGCTCAGTCTAGAAGATACCATCAGAGATGCTTAGTTTTGCAGTTCTCAAACTGGATTTGCGTTAACAGCAAAAAAGTTTTTAAATAAATAAATAAATAAATAAATAAAGAGAGAGAGAGAGAGAGAGAAAAATAACAGACCTCAATCCTATTGTCCCGCTGCAAATTTGTGAACACAGAGTCAATCCCTTACCTCTCTAAAAGTGCAAAGTTTCAAAAAGTTCAATGAATAGAAGATTGTTGGGGGCAGGATAGATCTGGACAAGGAGAAGAAGTCTGGAGATAAATGTGAGAAGGGAGAGACAGGCAGTAGAAACAAAAGTGAAACTGTTTGAGCAGCATATTCCAGAAGCCTTGAGATCTACCATATGTGACAAAGCTCTGTCCTTGTCTCCGTGGGCCCCACATTTCCTGGTGGATTTCACTAGCCTCAGAGGTTTACTGTGACCCTCCACATAGCCCTTCTCTAGGGTTACCATATTTTGTGCCTCCTAATGGAGGACACTCCCGGGGGCCCCGGCCCCGCCC